ACAACTTATAATTTGAATACTGATAATCCTGTGAATAAGGGAAGAGTGAACTTTGACTATTGGGACTAGTCAGTCAAATGTTGTCTTTTTTTTTAAATAACAGGATGCCTAGGAAATCCTTTTAAAAACAAACCCCATTAAATGCACACTTTTTACAAGAAGGACAAAGATACCATAATGGTTTATCCATTCCCTTTGCTTTCTATATGTAAAATACCAGCTTCAATGCCTGTTGGGTTAGCCTAAGCTAAACTAGTGAATGAAATATGAACTATAGTAGATGTTATTTCTTATCTATAACTTTAAAATGATGTGTATCAGACTCTGTTCAGACTCCAAATTTAAAGGCATTAATGACCGTCCATGGACAGCAACTTTTGCTTTCTTGAGCAACAAGTCCAAAGACTAAAACAATAAAAAAAAAATCCCTAAGACACAACAACATACAGGCAAAAGAAAGGAGAGCATTAAGGCAAGTTCAGGCTAAACACAGTCTCCACCTTTTGTCTGAACCATTGAGATGTCTGTGCCAACTCTGCTTTATTTTGGCTATGGAAACCTGACCTAAACTAAACAACTATTCTATATCATTAAGTTGTCCAGGAAGATGAAAGTTTAAATATATGCCAGACAAGCTGCAGCATCTGCTGCATTTCAGTAAAGGCTGTCCCTCCCAAAACCTTCTGTGCTGGAAGAACTTTAGGACAGCAGTGCTTTGCTTGGCCTGTGGAAAGAAAATGATGCTCTTCTCGTCAAATATTCTCTCTGCTCACCAGGGCTCATGCTTCCAGATCTGCTTCTAATGTAAGAAATAATACAAAGGAAAATCCCTGCATGAAACATCTCACTATAGCTCTAACTCCAATTTTCTGTGGTCAAATAATATACCTCATGCCTCGGTCACAAAGTGATAGGCACGCTTAACTTTTCACTGTGGTTGTTCAAAAATTATTTCCACTCTTCCTCTTCTTTTATTTAATACATTGCTTTTGCCTCACACCAGAGAAAACTGTCATATTGCTTCAGAATGTTATATAAAATTGATCTAGTGTAGATTCTCTCTTACAGTTAGTTGTCATGAAGACCAACTTGGCTTTTCCTTTCAAAAAGCATTCAAATTAGATATATGATCTCTTAAAGATATGATTAGAAGTGATCCTGATAGCTCTCTGAATATCCTGTACTATAAAACATGGTTAGGAAAATTTACAACTCTCTTTAGAATAGGAGGGAATCAAGTTTAGTGTGATTTTTATAATCACCAGCTGAGAAAAAACTTGTAACAAATATAACAAAAATTTTAAAATTTTTACTATATAAACAAATCAATGCATAAAATAAGAATACAACACATAAAGCAAAGGATTTGAAATAACACTTTATAGAAGAGATAGCAGGTAGACATACAGATAGATATTTTACCTTATTGCCAAACAAAAATAAAAATTGTAACAGTGGGATAGCATTTTGTTTATCAGTATCATTTTTAAACTAAGAATATCTAATGACAACAAATGATGTGGTGGCAGGGTAAAGTCATATAATATTTAAAAATAATGTATGAAATATTCATATTTTACCTCAGTAATTCTAGTCTTCAGTTTGAAAAGGTAATGATTTCAACATTTAAAGCCATAGATTCAAGATATTCATGGCAATATTACTTACAATACTGAAAAATGACTAATTACAACAATATACATCAGAACTGAAAATATATTGTTTTATCACAACTGTGTGGGATATTACACTACTTTTTAAATGATGTTTAGGCTGACTCATAAAAATATGGAAAAATATTAGCATATAATTCTAAGTGAAAGAAAAAGATGTCAAATTATATATATGTATATAGAGAGAGGGAAAGAGAGAGAGAGAGAGAGAGAGAGAGAGACTATATACATAGATAGTAGAGTCACACGGATTCTTGAATCTGTTCAGTATTTTCCAAATTTTATTTAACAAGCACCTTAATGTATTTGATATATTTTAAAATGTTATGTTACATTACTTTCAAATACATTGCCTTTTTACAATTCTATCAGAAGCAAAAAAAACATGCATTTAGAAGTCATAAAATATCATAAGAAGTTCAAATGAACGTATCTGTGATGGTTTTGATTCTAAGTGCACTGAATCCTGTGCATATGTGTCTAAGCAGCTGAAACCTGTGGGTAGCAAGCTCATTTCATTCACATTCATCCTGTTTCCAGCCGCTTACTCATCCTGCCTCCAGCCTATTCCCAACGTCACAGTTGCTTCTAGCACCTGTGAATTCTCTAGATGTATAAACTGCTGGAAGCAAAAGACCTGTTAATGATTGTTCCTAGTCTTTGCCCCACCCAACCTGAACATCACAAAAGGTGTCATCTATTTTAATATATTTCTTCTGTTGCTAACAAAGGGAATTCTTAAAAGAGATGGAGTCTATTTTGTATGATGTATCCCTGCATGGTTTGCTGTTGGATCTGTAAATATTACCCAATGCAGTATCTACTGCAGGACAAGGATGAACTGACATCACATTATTTGAAAGAAAAATACTATGTTTCACTTCTTGATAATTTAACAACAATTTCAACCT